GCCCTGACAGGGCCGCTGCAGCCGGTGGTCGGCGGTGGGGAGGAAGAGGAGGGCGGGCTGGGTGCCAGGGGAGGGAAGGCCGCGCCAGGCGAGGTGGGGCTGAAGGCGGGAGCTGTGTGGGGCCCGGCCCGCTCCGGCGCGGTGGGGGGGGGCCCAAATCACCACAGCAGCGTCACCAGGTGGGCGAGAGCGCTGGGGAGGGCCTGCCGGAGGTCGGTGGCAAACACTAATTTTTGAACTTTTTTTTTTTATTATTTCTTTTTAAATATTGCTGTTTATCCCCCCCACTTTGGGCACAGGGGCCCTCGCCGTGGACCGTGGTGGCTGGTGGCCGTGCCCTCCTCAGCCGCCGGCCTCGGCAGCCCGACACGTGCGCTCTCCCAAAATCCTGATTTAAGCCAAATGTTTTGACTTTCCCTACAACTGCACACAATTTTGAGGCTGTCGGATAGTTGTAAGAACCCAAGTGCGCCTGGCTGCGAATTACCCCGGCTGTCTCTTCTGGAAGTATGGCCTGGTTTATTTTTTTTTTATTATTTTTTAAAGCTTACATCAAAATAAGTACATGTGCTTGCAATTTGCTAGTTGAAAGCACAGCTATGGGGGTTTTTTTTGCCGAATCGTTAAATATCTGTCATGTTACGATAGGAACAAATATTCTCATGAACCGTCGCACCAGATAATGTAAAGCAGGTAACAGCCAACTTTTTCAAGCTTTGGATGGTTTGATAAGGGATTTGTGGAGCACTGAGAAGCCTCTGTTTTCTGTACGAGGCTGAGAATATAGCTCCTCGGTGCTATGGATACTGTATTAACCTGGTAGCTAAGGCCCTCCTGCAACCCCTGTGAAAGGTAAACACGATAATGGAGGAGGGGAACACACCAGCATCATGCTCTCTGGATAACAGTGAAATTACACCATCTGTTACGGAAAGGCTCAGATATATATATATTTTTTTTCATAATCCTTAATTTGCTTTCATATGTTAAAGTTTGATGGTTTTTCATGTGTGATTAATGACGGGTGCACCTTTCTTAGCATGGCAGTTAACAGTCAAACTGTGCAAACTTAGTGTTAATTACTTAGTAATGCGAAACTTAATTATCGGCTGATTAAAACTAATCTCAAGGTGGCTGAAGGAAACCTGTCTGTAGCGATAAAGGTATCTTAACTTGTTTTACAGCCTTTCTGTAAAAAATACGCTATCTCTAAGGTGTTAGACAAACAAGATTTAATTTCCTAATGCCAGTATTTACATTTAAAGAGAAAGATAGTGTCATCACGTTTTAAAATAGCTAATTTGAATTGAGTCATGACAACCATCCACCTTCCTTTCTAAAGTTCAGTTATATGCATTTACAGAAAAAAAATTAAATTACAAATAGAAGCACCATTATCAATACAAACAAATAAAAGTACAAATATGTGAATCCTGTTGTTTTGCTACAAAAGAGCATATATAGCTGTGCTTTTCTTCTGTAGTTGAACAATAATGCTAATGCACTGAAAGTACAAAGCATGACATGTTTGCTTGCTGTTTTCCCTCCAAAAGAAACGAACTTGCATAAGAAACCAGGTTAGTTATCATTAATTGGTGTGCCAGAAGTGCATTATCTACTTTCTCTCGGGAATAAATTTTGTTCAGGCTCAATGATATAAATCCATCTCTGTGGTATGACTTATAAAAGAGAAACAGATTTTTATTCTGTACTTATTACTAATGCATAAGATCCTCCAGATAATGCAGTTCTCATGTTTGCCTTCAGTTGTTTAAGTGGAAGGATTTTCCTATCGTGGTCAAGGTGACAACAAATCTTCCTTAGTCCTTTCAACTCCTATAGATCACTGGCCTTGCCTATGCGACTAAGATTTGCAGCCATGTAATTGCTTCCTCATAGACCCACCACGCAAATTTCAGGAAAATGTACGTTAACACCTTTAACTGGAATAGCACCAGTTTATACTGTACATAGACACTGGTGCAAACTTCTCTGATGTCATGACCCTTTTAAGCACAAACTGCACATGCAAATTTTTTTCATTTCAAAAACAACTTTCTGTTTTCTTGAGTTCATATCGTGATCATAAAAAATTCTCAACTTTTTCACTGCTGGACACAAAGAGGCTGATTCTTGGAAAGTGGGTATAGTTATATTACACTTCAGAAAGCTGAGGTCAAAAAAATTTTTAACTTCTGATGGTGTAAATGCACATGCAGCGCAGAAGGAGCTTGTGCTGACAAATAACAGGCACAATGCATTGTGCTTGAGTGATGGCTTCAAAAGAGTTGAAGTAAATGTCCCTCTAATCTATTTCTAGTCGTTGCAAACTGGAGCTTTTATTCTCTTTCATTACACTTTCTTGTGATTTTGAATTGGCCAATATTTTTTAACAGTTTGATGTTTCTTGGATAGTCAAACAGGTCATTGAAACGAAAAGATGTACAAGTAGAGAAGACAGTAGTATTCATTTATTAATGAGTCCTGTTTCATTTGGTATCTAAAATTTTATTGCTTCTTACTTTCAACTTTTATGGATATACTGTGTTAAGAAATAGCATCAAGATCAATATCCCTCTGTTCAACTCAAAGAAATTTAAATATATGTAGTGGTTGTGTAGTGTTCTAGAAATATTAAAATATTTTAGAGATTATCAATTAGTTACTAGGCCGAAAGACAATTTACAATTTAAACACTTTTTCAACATCATTTTTTCATCAATAATGGTAATCAGTGCCTCTGACCTTAGGCATACGTTAGGATATGCGTGAAATGCTGAAGCTGAAGGAAGATTTATTTGGGGTTTTTTGTGCCACCACAGGGGCAGACTGTGCCAGAAAGGCTACGGCGCCATTGCACTGCTATGGTTTCATTGCGTTAGGCAGAGCTCAGAAACAAATTCTACGGGTATGGTGCTACTCCATGCAAGAGTGCAGCACCCTCTCCCCTGAGAGTTTGGTCAGCCCTGTTAACAAGGGGATGGGGCACATTTTGGGGTACTTCTTTCCATTAGAAATAATGAAGATAAGCATTCCCTGTGATAAAGCCTTTGCCTTTCCCTGGCAAAGGTCCGTTTCATCTCATTGTAGGTCTTTGTGGCAGGAGCTTCATGTTTACGTTTCTCTCATGTATTGATCCTAAGAAATGATTGCTTTCTGAAATCCTTTCTTGTATCCCTTTTTTATTTTGTTTCAGGAATAGTCATCTGTTTAATAAATATTTTCCCAAATGCAGATCATCTTGGTGACAATGTAAACATAAATACAAGTAGAGTCAAACTGAAGTTACGTGAGCGCAGTCGATGAGTTAATCAGATATTCGCAAGTTAGTTAGTACACCAGCACAGCATGTCCACAGTGTCTACTGTACAACAGGTGTTTAATTAGATAAGGACTGTACTAGGCCATACAGAATCTACAAATGTAGGTTTTTCTTGTTTCACAGACTCTTCCACCTATTAGGGCTAAACACTTAAGACATTGTAGTTCTACTTCAAAACATGAATACACTGGAAAAGTTAATGCCGCCCATTGTTCTGTTTTGTTGTAGTGCTGATGCAGAGATACCTTCCCAGCCTTGTACCTTGTATCACCATTCCTGCCTCTTTCATGCTGTCAGCTGGCAACCCATCACCTGAGTGCTGACTTGGGCCAGCAGTCCATGTTTTTCCTTCAGATTAAGTGAGTAATCATTGTTTTCAACCTGCTTGAACCCTGTCTGAACCTATCCTTAGCTGTGTTAGGTATAGCTAGACAGAGCCACTGATCCTTCAGCGTGTCAGCCCATGTGTCATCACGACTGTTAAGAAAAATCTTTATTGATGTGTATGCATTTATGTCTTCAGCCATGCAACATATTGCATGCTGTTTAATACGGAGACAGCAAGCTGCTGGTGTAGAGTTAAGAGAGAATGAAGTATAAAACTTAAATCGGTGTTTCAAAGTATTTTATATTAAATGTAGCATAGTCATCCAAAATTATAGTACTAAATGCGTTCTTGAGAACCTACACATACATTTGCTAATTAATTTGAATGAAAGTTCATTGAAAATGGGTATTTAAAAAATTCAGCATTGTGTATTAAAATTGTTTTTACTTTTAAATTCACTTGAAAATAAGAAAGTACAGGCTTTTCAGATTTTTCGTATGTTTTGTGTAATCTCATATAAAAATAGAATAATAGTATTTTTTAATTGCAAGTTGATTCTTTGTGAAAAAGAAAATAATCTGCTTAAAGAATTTTAAATGGAGGTAGTCTCTGCCCAAATGAGAGATATCTTAAGTGCAACTATATACCGTTCAGAGTAAGAAATTATAACCTTGATGAAAATATACAGTTACATATAAATCTTCATACTATGAGTTATACACCAGCCTGTTTATCAAATAAATTTTCAGTTAGGAAAAGAATGGAGTAAATGTTGCTCTTCTCACAAATACCTAGTTGTGTTTGCGTCATTTGTGCTGAGCAGAAAGAAGGGAAGTGTCACTGAGGGAGCAAAAGAAAGAGGAAAGTTGAAGACATGAGGGAGTGGGATACATGTTCAGGGGAAGGCAGAGGCCAGGAGAAAGGAAAACTGAGGAGCATGTCCCTGCTGTTTTCCAACATTGGGATGATAAATAGCAGCTGTATACCAGTTTTAAGCAGCTAACATGCTCCAGCCTAGTATAAGTAACTTCAGTGAGCTAATAAATTTAACTGTAGAAGTTATATGTCTCTAATTATCTTCAACATCAGTATGACTTAATTTAAAGATTGCTGACATTCAGAATAAAATAAATCTGATCTGTGTAGAAACACACAGCTTGAGGATTCAAAACACATTAACTTTTCTATCTGTTGATAGCATAGCATGTTACAGTGTTTACAAACATAAATTTAATCTCATTTAGAAGTATAAATACTGAAATACATTCATAATCAGAATTAATGGTTTGCACTACAGAGTAAAACTGGGGTTTTTTTGCAATATATTTGGTATGCATTTCTAGATCTTATCTTGTTAAGACTAAAACTTAACTCTATAACTCTTTCAGGAGCTCTAATGTAGGTTTGAATGTTAATTCTACCGCATTTCAGATTACCAATTTATGCTTAATCTTCATGTAATTATTGCTTGGCGATAAACACAATGTGGTATGTTATATAGCAATGGAAGTCTTGAAGTTGTGGGGTTTTTTTGGTTGGGGTTTTTTTTTTTTTGGCAGAGAAGTCACTATTGATATTTCCACTCTATGCCAGTGCCAAAGAATAAAGTTTGTTAAGGGTTGAATAGGCCAGATAGATAATGCTACTTCTGTTTTCAGCAGACGCTAATGCAGTGTTTTATTTTGCACATATATTAATCTTTGCTGCCTCAGTACAGAATGGTGAGGGTAACTATGTCGGTCCTAAAGGTTAATTTCATTCTTTTTTAAGGCATGCCATTATTCTGTTAACAGTAATTGCTCTTTTTTGAATGATTAATTTGATCATATGAACTGTTTCTAATTATGTTGGTGGCTGGCAATTTCCTGTACCGAGAAACTGTAGCTGTGATCATATCCCATTTACTCAGTATATATGCCTTGAGAAAAATGCTCATTGACAGACGTTTTCAGAAATATCCACTAATTTTGAGAACTGTTTGGAGACTTTTATATAAGATGCCTAGCACTCGTTTTATAGTGGTGTTGAGTATGTGCAAATTTACTTGACAAATGAGGGCTGAAACAAAACTGGATTTGAGGCATAGGATGAGCAGGTTTGCAAATGCAGGCCTAACTGCTAAATTATCACCTGTGCCGTTTTTGCTGTGAAAACTGAAAGGAGTAGGATGTGTTTCTTGCACATTTTACCATGTTCTTACACTCTCCTTGAGCTTGATGTGCTCGCTCCTCTAAGCTATGTTTGTTCGCTTCAGTTATTGTTAACGAGCCAGAGCTCACACTCTGCAAATCAGTGCAGGCATTTTATGAGACACCCTTGCTCGGTGTACAAGCCCATGCAGGGAGTGAGAGGTGGCTGCTGAGCTGCCTGCAGGAGTTACGCTGCGGTTCACTCTCAGCAGCTCAACCCTATAGGCAAGAGTGATCCCACTGTGGCTGTTCTGGCTCCAGCACCCAATCTGCATCCAGTGTACGTTCAGTAGAAAACCATTGGACTGTCTCAGCTGCATTTGCAGCAGCTGAACTAAGCTGTGATTCAGATGGAGAGTGTACTCAGCAGAAAAGAGGTGCTGGGCTTGGCCAGCGTGTAGGAGACAGCCTACAGGAAGATTCAGTCACTCCGCGTTGTCTCACACTGAAGCTGGACGTGGTTGTAGTACCATTGTGCTAATCATAGCATCATTCCCATGGACACAAGCTACCATGTGTTGGACACTCTTCCTTTTGCAATTGCTACAGCAACTGGGCATGTGGTATTTGCTGAAGGACTGAAGTTACGTTCATCTTCTGGGTTTGAGCTGGGTCTTCAAGGCAGGAATAAACTCTTTGCACCGGTCCAAAGGAGGAGATAGGCTCTTAAATGGCACTTGGAATTCAGTAGTGTAAGCTGGGATTCAAAGCCCCAATTTCTGCCTCACCCCAGAAGTCCTTTACAGGGGCTTGAAGAGGTACTTTTGCATTTGACTAGAAGTACACCACTCCCAGCGTGCAGCTCACCTAAAATATCAGAATCCCGAAACCCAGCATTCCCTCTGGTGATCTGACATAGAGGGCCTTCAAAGTACAACTAAATGCTTTCCTACAGCATACCTTCTTAAATGCACATTCTACATGTGTTCCTTATTTCATGTACACTTGTAAAACTGTTACATTTGACTTATATTCAGAGTGACTCTGGCAAATATATGGACTTAGCGTTACGGACATGAGTTGTCTCCTTGCAGCCCCAATCCTATACGTTTTAATACAGCTGTAATCCCCGTGCCTGCGGGGAGTCTGGCCTAGCCTGCTCTAGACCTGCAGGAAGGAACAGCTGTGTGCAGCCTTTTTATGTGTTCCCTGATTTGCCTGTAACCTGTCCCCAGGGATTTTTACAGGCAGGCAGCAGATAGCCTGTAGGCCTGCTATGGACATGTCCCTCATGATACATTAAAGAACTTCATCAGATCTTTTGCTGATTAGTTAAAATTGGACCTGTGATCTCCACCCTCCATAAACACACACTGCCTCCCTAGCCATATATTGTCCTCCCTGATTGCTGTTGCCATCTCTGAGGCTGGGACATGCAATCTGTTTGTGAATCAGCTCGGGCACTGCTGCAGCTCTCAACCTGGCATGCAAAGGTAAATTAACTCCTTTACAAATGGATCACAAGTTCCTGCTTCAGAATTTTGGGGCAGGGAGCTTCTGCTGCCCAGCTACAAACCCCTGCTGCGTGGCTGTGTGCCCTCATCTGCCTAATGCCATCTTAAACGTATAATAAATTAGGAGGCATGTTCTCAGAATTTACCAGTTTGCTGACTGTAGGAACAGCAAATACAACCTGAAGGACATTTTGGAAAAGCTTTTCACAATGCAATATAAACATAGTGACTAGGCCTCTTGAAAGGTCTATGGATATGCCCACACTGGGGCAGTTTCTGGGCCTAGCTGATTCAGGAAAGAACATAAAGAAGTCATTGATTCAGTGGGAAACATTTACCCAAGAGTAGTATTTGAACAGCTCAGGTCTCAGAACAGAATTCTACTTTGATAGCGGTCAATATTAATTTAAAAATGCACTGTGGCTTGTGAGAATTATTTTCTAGGTCAGCTTAAATAATCAGTTATCCTATTCTTTCATTTCTCTTTCATGGCATTGTAGGCAAATTAATTGTATGTTAAGTCTTAAATAATTTTAAAGATTTGATTTATGACCCAACTATATTTGCCTTTTAAAAACCCAAGGGCAGAGAATTAAAAGTCTTACATGCTTGTATGACACCAGTACCGGAGCCCTTGACACGTATGTGTCCTGTAAGCGATATTAAAATAGAAATGTTAAATAATGGGTGTCTTCTGAAGGTAAGAACCACGGGTTTTGCAAGCTTTCTGCACGCTTATGAATAAGTGCCAGGTAGAGAAACACTGGAGTTTGAAAGATGAACCCCTTTTGAACTATACGCATCCCGTCTCAGTGTGAGTCCGGAGAAAATCTTCCCTTGTCCAAGCTTTTTGGATTTATGTAGGCTCTGTGGAGTTCACTGGTGGGTTTATTTGGCAGGTGGGCCTTATTAACCTGCCAGCAAGGGACTATTTGACCTGCTTAGGTTTGTGCAGCTTGTAAATAAAGATTCTGTCAGGGAAGAGAGATTCTCTTTTGCTTCAGACTATTTATATCTCTTATAACTGTGGCTGTTAAAGCTTATAAAGAAACAGAAGGTCTGGGATGTGAGACAGAAAGCCCTGAGGGAGTCTTACGTGTTGTATTTGGATTGCTGTGTTAATATCCTAAAATAAACACAGCATGCCAGTAAGTGGGGAATACTTTTATTGTAATTATTATTAACTCAAAGACCTAAATTGTTGGTTATAGAATGGAGTATGGCTGAGCTTGGCTACAGAGGACAATAAAGTAACCTCTTAATTTAACTATCAGCTATTGGCAATCAATGGAGGACAGACATTTAATCAACTTCATTTCCCTCTTTTTTTTTTTTTTTGATTGTTCTCAATTCTAACAATTATTAGTATTAATATTTTTTACAGCTCAGGTTAATAATGAATACAATAAGTTTACAATAAATATTAATCATAATCAAACTCTGATTGATAGACTGACCATCAATGGAATTACTTTAATTGGGCAGAAATATTGTGAAAGGGTTCACAATTGTGAAAATTGTTCAGAAATGGGAAAAGTACGTTGCATTTCAGATGAGCAAGAGCAATAATATTCAAGAAGGGTTTCCTTCTGCTTCAGCTGGCCTCCTCGGACACCGAAGTGCTACTGAAGATCAAGTGGCACCGGGTTCAGCATCTGCCAGAGTTGAGATTTTGAGTCTATTCCTTGTTCATTCATTTGAAAGTCAATTTTGCAATATTTCTGCCTTCTGTCCTGGAAGGGCTCAATAAATGTTCTTTGACCTTGGTCAGGTCAGACTGATCTGCTACTTATGCATTCCAGTGATGTTTTAAGATATTAACAGTCACCAGTTTATAGAGAATCTGTTGAATTTACAATTACAAACATACTGGCTGCAAAAGTACTTCACCCAAGAGTTGCTGCTGTGGCCCAGGAGAACTTGATATTGAGGAAGGACAGGTAGGGTATTACCACTGACGTGCACTGAGGGGAGAAAGGCTTCCACACTGTTTTGGGCACCAAAACTTTACCAGTGGAAGAGGGAGAGATGCCAAGAAAGGCAGTGCCCTTTCTTGTGTTGTTCCGTCTCTTTTCCAAGTGGGCATCTCTTATGAGCCGGAGCCCGTGGCTGCCAGCCCTGCTGTGATGTGGGTCTGGCAAACTGCTGTGCACCTGTTCCAGAGGGATTAGCCACCGGTGACAGCCCATACCCAGAATTTCCTCCACAGATGTTAATAGCCTTCAACAAGTGACTCAGAACCATTTGACTTAGAGCTTTTTATAGTTGTCGTTGAGGGTGATGATAATCATCCTAATAAAGTCTAGTTCTTAATCTCTCATACTTAATGGTTTGTCATTGGTCGAAGAAGAAGATACCATGCTGCTCCTCACTCCCATCCCTATCTGCTTTACTAGCACAGCAAAACACTGTTAAGCTTTTATGATCATCTGTCATTGCACTGGAAAGCGAGTGCTGTCTGGTGGAGAAGATGCCAGGCTGAGTCCAGAATTGACTCTGCTAATGAATTCACCATTGGGAAATCTAAGACTATATTACTTTGTCTGCTGTTTTGATTTTCCTACCGATAAATACATTCATTTGAGAATTCAATAAACAGCTCATGCTGAAAATCAAGCACGCCAGGATTGGTTTGCAGAACTAGTCCAACGAAACAAATATTGTCTGTATTGCATTAATATATGTTGATATGCAACATATACAATTTATGGCGCTGATTGATTATAAAAATAATGTACACTGTTTTTTTTCCTCTTTTGTCCACTGCTTACAGGCCTTTATGTCATTCTAGTAGAAAACAGTTTTTGACATAAATAATTAATTTTATTACTCTTGAAAACTGTGTCCATATAGCTGAGGGAATAAACGTACTAAATTTGATTCCACCCAAGTTCCTTTTTTTTTTTTTCCTTTCTACAAATACATAAAAAGAATCAGGCACTTCCTGCTATCCCTGAGCACAAATTTAGTTCCTGGTATATCCACTCTAACGTATTCAGGAAGGAAGGAATAATCTCTCTGAGGCTGTAGTGCTTTTACAGTGGCTGCAGTAGCTGTAGCTCAGGCTGTCTGTAAGTGAAAAATACTGGAGGAGTTGTGTAATGTTTGATCTCTGGGAGTAATAAGGAACAGGCCCATTCATAGGTGAGAATAATATGCTTGGACTAGCATTGTGCTAGTCCAAGTGAAGCAGACAAATGTTCCTGCATAGAGGAGACTAACATCTGCTAGAATTAAACAAAGTATTCATACCAGCCACAAAATGCACTGGATAAAAAGAATTTTTTTTTTCTAAAATAAGCCCCTCCATTTTCTGGCTAGGATAAAGTAAGATTGATTAGGTACCACTTGTAAAAGGTGGATTTTGTGAAAGAGGAGGGTGTTAAGTGCTCTAGAGAATAAGGATTTGCAAGAGAAGGGTGATAAGATAAAGATTTGTCCAAAACAGGACTGGGAAGTGGCTAAGTGGGAAGTGTGAGCCGAGTGTGTGGGAGGGAAGGAGGGAAGCATTCATTTCACCCAACACTAAGAACAGAAAAAGTGCAGGGGGGGGGCAGATTTCTGTTTCTTAGTCCACTTAAAATTAAATGACCTGTTGATTTCAAGTCTGGAAATTTTTAAAACTGAGTTCATTGGGCTTTTAGTATACATTTATCAACCAGTTTGTTGCGAATAATTTGTATCCGTCCTTTGTTCTGATTCCTCTCTTTAACTCACCAAAAAAAAATCCAATAGTAACACAACCAACCTGATTCACCTTTCAGTTCAGTAAGATGCTACTTGATTCAGATCCAGCTACTTTCCTTAAAAGATATTATCAGCTACTATTTTGAAGCAGCACACCGTAGGGCTGCTCCAGCTCTCACCTGCCAGCAGTCAGAGACAGGTCCAGCATACCCTCACACCACAGACCAGCCTTCCCCAGGCCCCCCTGAAGAGCAGATCTTAGGACAGAATAGCACAGAATAGGTTATATCGCTGGTGCGGGAGGAAAACAGCTGCCTGGTAAAGCAGCCTTTTGTGTAGTATATCAGGAATCAAGCCCTCGCCCTGTTTTGCCATAAATGAGCTGTTTTAATAAACATTTCCTGCAACTTTTAGTCGACAAATCGGTTCATGCTTGAACTTACTAACGTGCCTTTATCTTTGCTATAAAAATGTATATAATCAAGAGAGATTTCCGAGTGCTGGAGTGGATTTGTGAAAACATCCGCATAATGTTTTTCCCTTTGCTTTCAGCCCCGTTCTTGGATTTGCCGGCTGAGACAATGTTTGGAGTAGAGTCACATGATCAATCTGCATTTTCTTGCTGTCTTCCTGAGCTGTTGCACCGCTCTTTTTCATAGCAGGTATTCTGTTGATCTATAGATCTAAGCTCCTTCTTTTAAGGGTAATAAATCAAAATTATACAGTGTTTAGGATTTCAGTCAGAGAGATTATGTCAGAATTAGAACATTCCTGAGTGAAGGTCATATAAATCAATCCTTCAGTTATTCCATTTTCAGTTTCATTGTAATGAACAGTACCCTGCTTGCAGTGAGAAAGCTTATGGTGCTAGAATACTGATAAGATGATATTGCATTCAGAGTACATTTTCCACTATTGGATGAAATCTGCAATGCGATATATGACATACATGCAAGAGTCTGTGTTGAAAAGCCTTGAAATTGTCAAATTATAACATTCCAGGGATGAGGCTGGTTTGCAAAATCATTGAATCATCTTTATTGCAGAAAGAATTTTAATGAACAAAGTAATAGCAAAGGTCTTGTAGTAGAAATGTAAAAGAAAAACATATCACTCTTTCAAAGCGATCACATTAAACAAGTTAATGGTATATTGTTGTGCATTCTTAACACTGGCGTGTAATTTTTACCTGGGTAGCAATGCCTAACAATTAACATCACTTTTCATACTTAAAATACTTGACAAGTGATGTTGCTCGTAATAACATAATATAGCTAACTAGCCATTTTAATTGCTCATGAAATTGTAACACTGGGAAACAGGGAACTTGGGGTTGGCATCAGACTGATGGGATTTGGTGTATGTTGCGGATTATTCAGGTTGTCGTCTAAATTCCTTGATCAGGCACACATACAACCTATATACTTCCTAATGTATATATTGAACCTGTACTCGCAAGACAGTATAAAGCAGATATTACTCTTTGAACACACTCCTACGCACTTTACCCTGGGGAAATAGCTAAATCGTGTGTATCCGTATTTATTTATTTACTGTACACAGCCCTCCCCTGCCCTGCCAAGATACCAGGGCCTGTATATTCCAGCCAATTTGCTCGCTTACTTCCCTTTCCCTGACTCTGCTCTTCCCACCAGCTTCCCCCAGGGCTAGACCTATTTGGTTACCACTCAACCCCGATTTGCATGTGGCTTCCTCCAGCTTCTGTGCACCCCTGCCCTTAGAAGAGGCGCAGCTGGAGGCCGAGGGGAGGAGGAGGGGGAGCTCTCCAGGGTTCTGCTCAACCTGAGGTGCAGGGATTTGGGGAGAAACACCTCAAATCTGCCCTTCCATTCAGCCAGATGGAATCAGCTTGCAGAAATGAGGATACGCCCAATGGCTGTAGAGGGCAAGTGATGCATCAAACTGGTAAATTCTGGCGACTCCCTTGTCCTTACCACAAAAAAGACATTGAGGTGCTGGAGCAGGTCCAGAGAAGGGCAACAAAGCTGGTGAGGGGTCTGGAGAGTAAGTCTTATGAGGAAAGGCTGAGGGAGCTGGGGTTATTCAGCCTAGAGAAAAGGAGGCTGAGGGGAGACCTTATTGCTCTCTACGACTACTTGAAAGGAGGTTGTAGAGAAGTGGGGTCGGTCCTTTCTCCCAAGTCGCAGGCAATAGGACAAGAGGAAATGGCCTCAAGTTGTGCTAGGGGAGGTTTAGATTGGATATTAGGAAAAATTTTTGCAGTGAAAGGGTTATTAAGCATTGGAATGGGCTGCCCATGGAAGTGGCTGAGGCACCATCCCTGGAGGTATTTAAAAGACGGGTTGACGTAGTGCTTAGTGACATCGTTTAGTGATGTGGTTTTCTGTTTTTGTCAGAGTTAGGTTGATGGTTGGACTAGATGATCTTAAAGGTTCCAACTTAGACAATTCTATGATTCTATCTGCTTGCATTGTGATGTTCTGAGTAGTGCCCCAAGTGTGGAGCTTGCAGCCCTGCACATCGTGTTTCTGGAAGGACAGTAGACCAGCGGAGGTGGGAACAATGGTTGCAATGGAGGAGCAGTTGAGGAGGAGGTGGCAGAGTTTCAGGATCAGCGTTGTGAGATCACCAGAAGTGGGTCTGCAGCTGATGGATTAATCTTCTGAGGGCCCATTCAAGAGTGATCTCATGGTGCTGGGAATTTCAGGGTAGTCCTGAAGCAACGTGGAGTCTTTAAACAAAATTTTTTAACAGGAATTTTTAAGGAGGTTACTTAAACGTTATCTTTCTGGTCATACTGGAAATGTAACAGCATCACCTTTTCATCAGCTGGAACATTTGAAAGAGTCAGCCTCTCCATGCTCTGTGATAGATTGACCTTGACTTGGGCTACACAGTCGAGGAAAACATTTGCAGAGTCTTTACACTGCACTGAGACTGCTGTTCTGGAGTGTAAGAACTGAGGGATGACAAGCTTAAGAGAAAGCACAAGGACCACAAAGCCCGGTGATGATAACCATGTGAAAAATAGAGGAACCAGAAGGAACGGGGGAGAGGTAAGGGGGCACAATAAGAACCGCACTGGGATATTACGCAGCTCTTCAGGAAAACAATCACAGATGTTAAGCAGCTCATTAGGGAGGAACAAATCTCTCCAAACCATAATACCCGACCTGGCCAGCTACAGCGTGAATGTGAGTGTAGGTACGTGAGTGTGGGTACGTAAGTGTGGGTTGTGTGTGCCTCTGCAGTGCAGAGGCTTGGAGACGGGTTTGCCACAAGCACACATGCACATGAGCTGGGACACAGCAATATACAAGTAACCTTGGTGACAGAGGCAAGGCTGAAGCACACAGATTCATAGCTCCCAGCTCTGTGTTCAGACCACCAGACTACCTTCTGTGTTTCTTTATCAGCAGCGATGAAATACAACAGTCACTGCTGCAGGCAGAGCAGGCTAATGACAGTAATGCTCGATGCTTGCCCTATTTCTCGTACTCTTTCCCTAAGCACTCATTTCTGACTATGACCAGAGATTGGATAAAGGGACTCACAGGCCTCTCGTTTAGCTCAGTGCAGTTGTTCTAGTTTCCGTTATGCCAAATGAAGCCCTCATCCAACCTAAATAAAGAACAGGATGTGGCACTGTAAGTTTCTTTGTTTACAGTGTCTTAATAAATTCTAGAACAAATGTACTCAATTTGGAAGCAAAAGAACATTTTCTTACTGTCAGCTCTACAAGCTGGTATTGAAAGCCGATAGTCACTGGATCCTTTTTTTCCTGTACATCAATGCAAGTAAAGCTCTGGAGACAAAAATCCGTGAATTTCTTCTGCAGTACCTTCTCCCTGACTCCACATCCTGTCTCAGCGCCGTCTGCAATTCTTACCTTCAGCAGGTTTATGAAATGTCTCAGCTGAATAAAAATATGTTGTTACTGATATAGGAGAAGGACTGGAATTCATTTCATCTTTATTACAGTGAAATGAAATTAGTTATGTTGACATTTCAGTTATAAAGGGAGCAAAAGCTACCATATATTTTACCCATGTAAGTAAAATAACTCTGTTGATAGTCCTGATATGCTGTATAGCAAAATTATTTTTGTATGATGCTGTTTCACAAAATAATGTAAATATATGGATTGCACAGATGTTAGTAGGAGCAGAATTTCCTCAGGACAAATAATCTGTGATCTTACTTTGTTTCAGTTAAATTCCAGTTTATCTGCATTTCATTAATTCTCCTTCTGATACTTGAGTTTTCCATATAAAGACTGTTGGGATTCTAATTAGTGAGTTTTGAGGAACACCATTACCACAGTGAATTGAGAAAAAGGTCAGTGCCTCAAGGAACCTGGGAAATATTTGGACTGGAGCAAAATGTCTTTCCTGATCATTTGTTTCGATAATTCAAAGTTTTAAACAGAAAGGTAATAGATAATGATTAATATGAAGCTTACTGTCACTTGAGAAACATATTATCAAAGCCTGACCTAAAAATTTCTCTCAACCAGATCTGTCATTTTTCATTTGGACAATATTGGCTTGTTCGTGTTGTTTTTTGAAATGTGCTTAACCAGACAAAAAAATCAGAGTAGTCAGAGAAAGGAAACACCTTTGAGATTCATCCCTAATATATATCCATTCATCTCAGTGGAGTCACAGCAATAGTATCTAGCCTATATGCTCGGCAAAGGAGAGAAATGCAGTTCCATAGACAAAAGGCATGGTCTGGTTAAATCAATTTCTATAGCATCTTGTCTCGACATATTTGAGAGCACTATCTTTCTCAATTAATGTCAGCTCTGCTCTGGGAATACTCTTTGGTAGTTAACTGTTGCTGTTAGAGAGCTAACTTTAGATATAAGGCAGCTGGCTTATGTATTTTGCTGTTAATATTTTTTGTAATGGAACAACAAATGTGAAGCGAGCAAACTACTAAGCAGAATGCAGAAGATTTTCCACCCAAATAAATCAACTTTAAGCATGAGAAAACCCAACTGTAAACCCAACTTTCTTTTGACTGACTCCAGATAGAAGAGAAAAAATACATTTGCAAACCCGAGGAACCCATTTAAAGTAGCTCTTAGAGTTTTCTTTTTCCCAGATCTCTGTACCTCCAGCATACCGGGGGTTGTACACGTGCCTCTGTGCAAACATCATCAATCTCTAGAGTATTTAATTTTAAATTAATTCTTGGGCAGCTTCTTTACTTTCATTTCCATTTACATCAAAGTCAAATAGAAAACCCTCAAACAGCCCAACTCGCATAGCGCAAGAATGGAGGAAGAGCAGACATGACGTTTAGAGAGTATCAAGAAAACACTGTATTTGTGATAAAGATCACAGAGGAAAGAAGAAGAAAGCAAACTGAAGAAAGAAGAGAATGGAAAGCAAGTGCAAGGCAAATTTTTAAAGCACGTGTCCTCGTGGCTTTCATGGGTAATTACCCACTAGAGGGAGATAGACCGTAACTTGTCAGGTAGATTATGGCGGAAGTTGGACTTTGTAAAGTCCAAACAGGAAACACTGTGGTGAGAAAGCCAGGGAAGATGTGAGTTCTCTACCCTGGTAGAGTTTCATGCTGCAAAATTCTGCGTAAGTTACCAGCTGTATCAAAGTGAAATCCTTTCCCTTCCAGACCTGGCTTTCATTACACTTTTCTTCAAAAAAATCCT